TTTTTTGCTTTCCTGTTTTTGTTCACCTTGGTTTTTTTTTGGTTTTTTTTTGGGGGGGGGGATCAAATATCTTGATTCCTTTGGTTTTTTTCACTGTTTTTATTTTATTTGCTATGGTATATTAATATTATGTTCATCGTCATCATCATCATTGTAAAAAAACACAGCTGGGAAGGAGAGTTGAGTAACTTTTAGTCAACCAATAGAAACGGAAAAAACATTGATTATAAAAACGGCTCGACTTTTCGTCTTGAATGCTTCTTCAGGGGAGACCAAGAGTAAAACTTAATTAAGACGGTATTGTATATGTATTCAGTTTGGAGTTTGAGTTGGAGTTTGGGTTGGGCTTGGGTTGGGTGTTTTGTAGGCTAGTTTTTTTTCAAACAGAATATACGTCAGACTGGGCCTGAATTGACTTTCAGGTAGGGCAGAAACATTGGAACAGATTTGAAAGGAACTGGTACCTAGTTTGTAGTCTTTTCCACCTGTTTTAATTAATGTGCAATCCATGACCAATTTCTTCCATTTTTTTCTTCTTTTAAAATAACCTGTTTTATTTCCTTGCAGTGTCCTTACTGGAAGGTCGGCAGCCCAACTACCGTGTGGTCAGCACCGACTACACTAGCTATGCCGTGATCTACTCGTGCACGCGGCCCACCGTCCTTCCTTTCCGTATGGGTGAGAACTAGAACTAGATTTATTTCCTACTCTGAAACAGTTCTGCAGTTAAGTAGACCCTGGAGAGAACCTAGATCTATACTATTATAGCCATTGCACACTGCCAATCAGATTCGTCTCTTTGAGTCAGTGTCATTCAGATAGTCATTTTTGCCACAAGTAGACTTTTTGAGGTCTCGTGTTGAGTGGGCCTCATTGTGCCAAAATTTCAAATTTTGCACCATCCAAGAAGAAAAATATGGCTGGATGAGACTCAGTCTGATGAATCCGATTGGAAGTGTGGACTGGGTATAACGAAAGATAAAAGGGAAAAAATGGGAGGCCATACTTCTTCTTCTTCTCAATCGCATCACACTTGAAGTCTGGTATCTGTCATAAATTGGGGCGTCTGCTCAGTTCATCTGTCGGCCCGTATAGCTTCTCTTGCAGCGTCACTGGGGTTGGCCACGTTTCCTGTCTCAGGGCCCTGTGTGTCTAGCAGTGCTGAAGGAAGTGTTCTACAGTTTGGTCCGCCTCTCCACACTGGCATTTTGGTGATTGTACTAGTTTAAAACATTTGTACATATGTTGCCTCAGTCTTGTGTGTGGTGTCCTTAGTCTGAAGATAATCACTCGTTCTTGGCGGGACAGCTCATGGTAGCCATCTGGTGTCTGAGGTGCTTTAAATAGTGTATTTATAATAGTTTTTATTTCTGTGTAATTAACGCTGTCGTCTGGTTGCTCTTTCTGGAGGTCATACTTTTGTAATAACCCC